CACTCGCTCAGGCGTGCGGGGAGGAGTGGGGGCTCTCCTCCTCTGCTCGTGGTCTGCAGGTCCTCCATATCGGCTGCTGCCTCCTGCCCCACAGCCAACACAGGGCTTTGGGTCAAAAGTGAGATCTAAAGGCAGGAGCAGAGAAATGATGAGATGGGGAATGAATGCTTGGTGAGGAGAGCTATGTGCCCAGTGAGGTGCTGGTGCTGGTGCCAGCAGCCTGGGAAAAGCTTGGCTTACGCAGATGGTAGAGCCAATTCATCAGTGCTTTCCTCCATTTCAACATTCCTCTCTGCTGAGGTGGTTTGGTGTGCTTGGGTGAGAACAAAGAGTGACCTTAGGAGTGGTGCTGGGAAACCTTTCTCTGCAGCAACAGCCAGGGCTGCTCTGGGCAGCAGTGATGCTGCTGGTCGTGGGTGTGGGACAGATCCCCACAGCTGGGATCAGCCACAGGGAGGGCATAACCCCCGTTCCGGGGACACACCAAGCAGCTTTTGCCCCCCGCTGCAAGGAGCAAGAACATTGTCAATCCTGACTGCGTTGGGGACACCAGCTTTCATGCTGCAGGCTCCAGCATCCTCCAGAGCAGCCACGTCCCCCATGTGAAGCAGAGCACAAACCCCTGCCCTTTGGCCTCATCGCCCCCAGGCTCCTTGCAGCCCTTGTCCCAAAGCAGAGCTCCCAGAAAGCTTTGCAGGGATTCTGCAGGAATTGGGTTAAGTCTTGCGGGCCCCCCAGGGACACGTGCCTCCCCCAGGCATCAGGGCTCCTGCTGACAAGACCTAACGCAACATTGCTAAGAATAGCTGCTTCTTGGGCGCATCTCCACCCCGAGCAGTTCGCTGCAATGACTTCCCCCCCCCAGGCAGGGAGGAGGAGGAAGAGCTTGGAAGAGCCCCGGGGTGCTCAGGCACTCCCAGATCGGCTGCAAGGAGGGGGTTGGCTTGTCATTTCAGCCCTAAACCTTCAGGATTTGGGCGAAAAGGTTGTGAAGAGGGAAATAAGGCATTCTCTTCTTTCTTTGGCTGTATTTTTCCTCCTCCTTCACCTAGCAATAAAGAGGAAAATGAGGAGAGGAAAAGCCCAAACAATTTGAGTTGGGGCTGTATTTTTTTTTTTTTGTCTCAGTTTCCATTGTTGAGTTTCCCCACAGAGGCCCCGGCAGCTGTCTGCACCCCAGTGATAATTCATGAGCAGTGATTTTGTCTCCAGAACCATTGCAGCTCCCATCTAATGAATCCCAGCACTGAGATCCTTCAAAAATAAATTAAAGAATGGATAAATAAGGGATAGATCTGGAAACTGAGGTGCTGAGAAGCAACGCAGTGGTGACCAGGTGGCCATTACTAATTAGTCCATTATCATTAGAGAAGCACAACCTCCCAGACCCTATGGCACTAAAGTGGGATTTCTCCATATGGGATGCCGTAAAAATACAGGTAGGAAATGAGGCTCTGGCCAGACTGGGGGGCTGGGAATGAGAGTTGGGACAGGGTGGGATCAATGCCAGGCAATGGAAGCACGGCAATGGCTTTGGCAGGGCCAGGCAAGCACTCCGGCCACAAGCTGCACAAACAGCCACCCTAAAGGACTGCACACACTAAGCACAAATCGGTGCCTTGAGCCAACAGCCAGTTAATGCTATAAATAAAACTGTTATCATCCAAGCCTCACTCGCTGAGCTAGCTGGGCCACAGCGCTTCCTCTTCAACAGCATTTAAGGGTGATTTCTAGCCGGGAGGAGGCCAGGATCTTGTCAGCATCCACACTTCAGTGGCCTTTTCCCCTCCTGCCATTGATACTGCACTTGGCCAACAAACTCAGTGGATGCCCACCCTGGGTGCGGGCTGGGGACTGGGCTGCCACTGTGGGGACACTGATGCTGGCTGGTGTGGACATGGTATGTGTGTTATCTCTGTGACCTCATCCCACATCACCTGGCTCCCAGGACTGCTGAAAACCTCCCTTCTCCTCCTCTTGCTGCTGCTCTGGTTCCCACCTCTGCCTCTGACCTCCAGTTCCCCCTGCACTGCCCTGGCAGTGGAGTTACAATAGGGAAGAAAAGTGTGGCTGTGTCCCCAGGCAGTACCAAGGGACATGACCAGGCAGAGGAAGGGGAAGGCTGCTCCTCCGTGCCTCTAAGGCTTTCCCCTCCTTCTTTTGGTGCTTGCTAATCATGCCTGGGCAGGGGATGGGAGGAGAGCGTGCAGGGGAGGGCAGGATGAAAAAGGAGGGGGGCCCATATGGAGAAGCTTCTTTCAGAGAGTGACAAGATGCTGAGCTGGCATGAGCCTGGGAGCTCACAGAGACATTGGTTGTTGGAGCCAAGCAATCAATATGTGAAAACCCAGCCCAGCAAGGCAGGTGACCTTGAGCAGCAAGCAGAGAGAGACAGTGAGAGGAGAGCAGCATGAATTACACATAGAGATGGGAAAGGGAGGAGAGACAGAGGAAAGAGAGGGACAGGCAGGACACAAGCCCTGGAGCTCAATACCCAGCACAGCTCTGCTCCTCCTGCTCCATCCTCATGCCAGTGGGGACATGGTTTCCTGTACACAGCCCCCAGATTAAAAGATCTCAGAAGCAGCTGCCTGTCCCATCCATCCCCTCTAAGCAGGGATGCTCCTGTCCCCCTTCATCTCACCATCTCCAGCAGTGCAGCCTTCACCGTTTCCCAGCTGCTTTGAAGCCCTGCAGCTCCCGCTGCTCCTCAATGAAAGCTCCTGAGATCAGAGTGATGTTTTGCCTTCACACAGCTCTAGCCGACAGCTCTTAGCAGAGCGCCCTGCACTCATTTCTCTTTCTTGGGCTGCTCCACTCCCTCCCTGCAGCTGTTCAGCCCCACATACATGCAGCAGGTCTGGCAGCTGCCGGCCCTGAATTGCTGTGCTCAGGCTGTGCCCACGTCAGGTCAGCAGGAGCAGCTCATGAATCTGAGCAGAGCTGCACAGAACTTTACATGCATATAACCATGGGATAGTCTGTGCAGCCCTAAAAATCTCTGCGACAGAAATGACTTTAGATCCAAACAGGTCTCCACAAATGGTACAAGCCATCAGCTGGGCAGAGCCACGGATGTCAAGGATGGACAGCAGCCAGGACTGCCAGCTGCCTGGGCACAACTTGGGGACATGGGGAGCAGGAGAGAGGGAGCTTGAGGACACATGACTGGGCGGAGTCCCTTGAGATCAGCTGCTACGTTCAGAACCAGGGCAGGCTGTGCTCCCATGCAAGTGCCAGGTAGGTTCCTCCAACCTCTTCGAGGTAATTGGGGGGACTTTGAGCACCTGGTCTCCACTGAGGTCACAAGGGAGTTCAGAAGGGTGGGAAACAGCCATGGGCCAGCAGCAGAAGCGTCAGACATCCCAGGGGGCTGCCATCCTATTCCCTGCACAGGGAGGCACTCATTTCTTCTCTCTCTCCTCGGAAGCAGCAAGGATACAGGAGCACAGGTACCAACTGCGGAGTAACAGGGATCAGCTCCCTAGCAGACCCCTGGTTCTCTGGAGGTGAGGAAGACAGAGGCCTGCTGCCCCTTCCTCCTTTAGACCCGAAGAGACCTGAATGCCACACGAGATGCACCTCAGCTCCCCCCAGCAGAGCCCCCGGGTCATCGCACTACTGGCATTAAAGCTCGGCTTCTGCAAAGCTCTCACGCCCAGAGAAATCCCCACCTACCTTACCCCCTGCTAATTGAAGCAAATCCTTCTCCGTCCTGCGGCTGCTTTTATCACCTTCTCTGCACACCTGGGCACAGCTCTAGCTCTTCTCCAGCTACACGGGCATGCCCGTGAATCTCTCAAAAATGCTAAAACATCCCGAAAAGGAATACAGACAGCAGAGATTCAGTTTGCAGTCGGACGTTCAGGTCAGGCGTCTCCAAATACTCTGCCTTGCCATCTAGTGGGATGAACTTGAAGGAGCGGAGTTCACTGCTGGGGAAAGCCGGGTGACTCCAGGATGGCAAGGAAACGGGGCTAATAAATCCTGGCATCTAGAGCCTGGAAGGAATGGTTGGAGCAGAAACAAATTCCTTTCACCGTTTATTAAAGGTCCTGGCTTTTGGATGGACATAGCCTGTGTCAGAGCAGCCCCTCTTAGGGCTTTGCATGGAAAAGTGCACGCAGGCACACCCAGCGTGTCGCCGAGCCGTGCCAGCAAGGCAGACTTGAGGCACCAGCACCCAGCAGTGCTCACAGCGTGCCCATATATGAGAAGCTGAATCTTTTCTCGAGCTGCCTTAGTTTGCATCCCCAGGCCTGGAGGATGTGGGCTGAGCTCAGTGGTTTCAGTTCAGGATTTTGGATTCTCCGGGGGTGCATCATCTCTCTCACTGTACGCATGTTTATTACATGTGTTTAAAAATATTGAGGATGAATACATTACATTTAAAATATCTCACCACTGGGCAGAACTCTTCAGGTTTGAAACGCTGGGTTGACATGAGATATTTTAACTACATCCAAGTGACTCTTTGCTGCTGGATGAGAGGACATTTGCCTTCAGGCTTTGGGCTTTGAAGCAGCCCCAAAACACAGGGAGCTGCTGCACGAACCCTCCAGACACAGCTCACATTAGCTCTATGTCCCAACCAGGGACAGATCCTCCATGGACCTGTGCACAGATGAGGGACAGCCCGTTGTACAGGTCAAAGCATCACCTCCTTGCAACAGCACAGCTCCTGGCCTGGAAACCCCTAAAGCAAGCTCACAGAGTCTTCCCAAGGTCCCCAGGAGGGAGGGAACTGAGCAAGAATTGGGACACAGAGCAGTCCCCATCCTTGCATCCAGCACAGGTCACAAAGAAGCTGTTGGGTTGGGTGAGAACTTTCCATTGTTCTCACTGTCCAGAGACAAAAAACAAAACAAAAAAAACCCACTGGATTCATTTTTAAAGTCTTCATTTTATTACAGCTGCTCACACTCGGCTCTATTTGCCCCAGAACTGAGTTCACCCGCATTCAGATGCTCAGCTCACACTAAGGTTAAACACGTCTGCCTTAATCCCATGTTTTCTATGAGACAGCAGGAAACAAGGGAGTGCAGGTGGAGCGCCAGGGGCCTGGGGATGCTCGCCATCAGGGGCTGATGCTGGGGCTCAGAGGAAGCGCCCCGTGGGCAGGCGGGGCAGGCAGAAGTAGGCATTGGGGAAGAGGCTGAGGTTGATGGGGTTGCCATCAAGGCGGATGTCCTCCAGCGCCCTGCGGATGTGGCTCTGGTCTTGGCTGTTGCAAAATGTGTCCTCATGCATGGTCTGGATGTTGTTGTTCTGGAAGGTGAGAGAAAGGGGAAAATGGGATTTGGAAGTGCAGAGGAGCTGCAGGGAGCTCTGCAGATGAGGATTTGCTATGAAAAAGGAGACATCTCACCTGGAGGTGCAGGGAGCGTAGGCTCTCTGGCAGGGGTGCAGGGATGTAGTCCAGCTGGTTGTCAGACAGATGGAGAAACTGCAGCTGCGTGAGGTCCTGCAGGAAGAGATGAAAGGTGAAGCTCCTCGCTCCCTGCCCCCCGGCACCAGGGGGCAGGCCCATCATCCCTTGCCATGGGGTTAAAACCATCCAGATGGGTCTGTGGGCGCACGGCATGGCTCAGTGCACACCAACAGCTCCAGCACCTACCTGGAAAGCTTCGGGCCGGAGACCAGCACTGGGGATCCTGTTGAGGCGGGCATCCAGCCTGACGATGCTGCGGGGCAGCTCGGGAAGAGCTGTCAGCCTGTTCTCAGGCAGGATGAGCTCCTGCAGGCTGGGGAGGAGACGGAAAGCATCCACGTCTGCCCAGGAGATGGAATTGCTCGTCAGGTCTATTCGCTTCAGTTTCTCTGATGGGAGAGGGAGGGAGGGGGTGCGCAGGTCACACATCATCACCTGTCCCTGCAAGGCCACCCCAGGGCCTGGCCTTTGCCTTGCCCCAACATACTCAGCCCCATGAAATCGCCTGCCCGGATGGCACCGATGCGGTTGAAGCGGGCGTACAGGTAGGTGGTGTCGGGCGGCAGAGGTGGGATGTGCTCCAGGTCGGTGTCATCGCAGTACACGGAGGTTCTGATGCAGAGGCAGCGCAAGCAGCTGGGGAGGCCTGGGGGCAGAGAGGCAGCACTGGGCATGGCACAGCACAGCATGGCACAGCACAGCACCTCACGGCTCAACATGGCACAGCACAGCATGGCACAGCACAGCACAGCACCTCACGGCTCAGCACGGCACAGCACAGCATGGCACAGCACAGCACAGCATGGCACAGCACAGCACCTCA